CGCACACTTCTTTGGATTCATCTTCAATTTGTGGATCCTCATCCTTGCTAATGTCTGTTTGAGATCTTCTAGATGATGTTCTTCTGTCTTGGACTTCACCACTATGTCATCGATGTAGACCTCCATGCTCTGGCCAATCAGATCGTGAAAGATTGGCATTCATTGCCCTCTGGTAAGTTGCACCAGCGTTTTTGAGCCCGAATGGCATGACTAGATATTCATATGCCCCCACATGACCGGGACACCTAAAAGCTGTTTTATGTATATCTTCTGGAGCCATCTTTATCTGATTATACCCGGCATTCCCATCCATAAAAGATAGTACTTTATGCTTTGCTACTGCATCTATGGATAAATCGACCATTGACATGGGATACTCATCCTTTGGTGTAGCGCCATTAATATTTCTGTAATCCACACAACATCGTACCGCTTTTGTTACAGCTTTTAAAACGGGTACAATGTTGGCCAACCACTCCACATATTTGGCTGGTCTGATAAAGCCAGCTTTCACTAGCCTTTCAATCTCTTCTTTGACCTTTTCTTCTATCTCCTTTGACATCCTCCGTGGTGCTTGCTTGACAGGTTTATATCCCTCCTTGATGGGCATTCTATGTTCCACCAAGGTTGGATCTAACCCTGGCATCTCGGTATAATGCCAAGCAAAACAGTCTTTGAATTCTTGCAAAAGACAAATAATCTTTGCCCGATCATCAACCCCTAATAAACCACTGATCAGTATTGGTCTCGGATCCTCATCTGTTCCTAAATTAATAACTTCCAGAGGATCCTGGACTTCTGGTGGTGGCTTATCCGGTTTTTTACACAAAAATTCGACCAGCTCCAAGCTCTCGGGCAAGTCGTCTGGCCCGTCTAGATCATATATGAACTCGGCCATTTGGATGGCCCTATCCAGTTCTTCTCTGCAAGATTCCTCCTTGCTGTCATGCTGGCTGGTTGAAGTTCCCACCTGCCATTCCTGCTCTTCCCTGTCCAAGAGCTCCATTTCTTGTCTTCTTCCCTTCCCATATACCAGCAGTCTTTTAATCAGGGATCTGACTGCCATTACCTGATCTCTCTTTTTTTGTCCAGTCATTGATGGTGTATGGGATTTGGGAGGATACAAGGTTTATCCCACTCCTCTCTAGTAAGGAGCATTCCTTGTTCCAAAAGCTTTTAGGCCGTCACCTTGGTAGGGCTGCCGTTCTCATTAGCTCCTGAACACTTCAAGATTCTTACATTGGGGTTGTAGAAACTTGCTTCCGCAGCATTGGCTGTGGGGAGAAATGGTCGTGATTCGGCCTCTACCATTTCCCAAAAGCCTGGTCCTTCTGTGCCCGCTTCATGATAAACAGCCACTTGTTGATGAAGAGTAGAGGGTATGACCAAACTTTGGTGGATCCAATCTCTTCCGAGTAAGGCCCCATAAGTGGAAGTGCAGTCCACCACAAAGAATGCCAGCATTATCTTTTTAGATCCCAAATCCACTTCTAGAGGCAATATCCCATGAGTCTTGGTGATAGCGCCTGAGAAGCTAGAGACCGTGAGGTCTGTGGGAATAAGATCCTCTGTGTCTCTTCCCATTTTCTTCATCTGCTTGGCTGGTAACACATTAACAGCTGCTCCTCCATCAATTAGAATTCTTTTGAAGGGCACACCTTCTAAGTGAGCTGTAACATATATGGGTTTCAGATGATTGGCCAACGAGCTGTTCGGGCGGCTAAACACCATTTCGTCTGTGTAAATCCTTAGAGGACCACCTTTGGATACTCCTGAAGATTCAGCCTTGCCCGAGTTTTCTTCTTCAACTACCTCCACATTGACATGTGCCATCATTGGCTCAGTTGTCAAGTAATCACCCTCCATAGTAGCGGGTTGATCAGGTCTGGCACCAAATGTGGCGGACAACACATATGCCATGTTGATATGGAAATTACTAGGCTCGGGCGGACCTTCTTTATTGCCCCCAATTTGGTCCATAAATTCATCCAACCAGGCCATCGCATCGGCTGGAAGTAGCGGTTCTGGTGCCCCCTCCTGTTGCTGTTGATTCATGCCCGCATATAATGTTTGTTTTGGAACTTCACCAAAAGGATCCACCAATGGCAGAGAAGGTGGTCTCCTCTCAGATGAAACAGTTCCAACGCAAATAGGTTCTGGCTTCCACCCAGGGGTTGGCACCATGATTAGATCTTCTTGAGCTCTCCTCAAGATCCTATACTTCCCAGGGTGTTGGCTCTGCGTCACGTGATCCCCCTCGCCTTCTGTCTTACTGTTGGCCTTTTCCACCTCTTTCTTACTTTTCCAACGGAGCTGACTAGTTCCCCCAGATGCTGTTTTCTCCAACTTTTGATTTTTGGAGGCTTCGGATGTTGTGGGGGTCTTCAGGGAATTCATGTAGGCTTTGTGCTGCCTTTGAACCGTCTTGACCATGGAGGCTCCCATTGGTTTGGTAGGTTGTCCGTTCTTCCCGACTACGTACCATTTTCGCCCAAGGTGGGCAGGATTTCCTTTTTTAACAACAGGATTGGTCATGCTATCAATCCTCTTGATTTCCTTCCCCATCTGGCCATATTGAGGATGATCTGCACCCCTTCGTATTTTGGCCTCCATATCTTCTGCTTCTTCAGAAACTTCGTGGTTTCGAAATACTTCTGACAAAGCTTTGGGTTGGGAATCACCTCATAGTCGTTGAAAAACGCTTCGGGAAGTGTTCTTTTTTGTTGCCTGCTTAATCTTTTCGCGGGCTTCTCTTCTGACGTCTTCTTCCTTTCTCCTGATCAGTTCATGATCAATGAGGATTCCAGCCGGGGGAATTTCGAGCTCACACTCGCATTGGCACTTACTACACATAACCATCCCCTTGATTATGGCTGCTTTTGGATATTCGGGCGATTTAGTCACCCCTCCTGTAGGTTTTTCAGCCAGTCTCTCCTCTTCTGGTTCCCTTGTAATTCTTTCTTTTCCCTTCTCAGCCCATGTCATATTGATCATATTTACAGGGGCTTCGGTGAAGGGAACTGCAGGTTTGGCCATCACCGACTCTTCTGGCTGGCTGGCTGGCTCTACGTCTTTTTCCTTCGGGAGGAACCAAGCCTGCATCATTTCTGGAGCTCGTGGAGGCTTTCTCCAATCTTTGCAACATTTGTAGTAACGTGGTTTGCAAATCTTCTGGCATTTTGACATATATCTTCTGATCAATTGTAGAAGTCCCACTGGGCGTGCCAAAACTATGTTCGCGTCAGGAATTTTCGTCGAGGATGTTTCCTGGCCGACGAACACACAGCTCCCCTGGAGGTTGGCGCCGGTTGAGGGCTACTGTCGGGCTTCTGCTTCGCTATCGGGCTTTGTCGGGCAAGTCTCGTCGGGCAAGTCTTGTCGGGCAAGACTCTTCGGGCAAGGCTCGTTGGGCAAGGCTGAAAGAGAAGGACAGCATTAACTTTGAGAGGTGCCTTTATGGGGCCTTAGGTGTAGGCCTTGAGGCTCACAATCAAGGTTAAATTTTAGGTGCTCAGGCGTGCCACTGCCATCTTCAGCATGGCAGATGTAAAATGGATGTCGTGTTTTAGTTGTACATATGTATATATCCGAGAAACCGTGTTAGTTATAACAGATGCCTTTGTGGGGCCTTAGGTGTAGGCCTTGAGGCTTCCCATCAATAACTAAACCAGTGCTCGAACACATCATATCTGTTCTCGTGATTGCAAGAGTTTTCTAACTATTATACTTCTGATTACCTGAGTCCAAGAAGTAGAATGAACCCAAATAAGTGTCTTTATGGGGCCTTAGGTGTAGGCATTGAGGCTTCCCATTAGAGTTCGTTCTTATACTCAAACTCTCTAGATCGTAGAACGGAATGAATCCAAATGGATGCCTTTGTGGGGCCTTAGGTATAGGCCTTGAGGCTTTCCATCAGAATCCATTCCATGCTCAAGCATTCTATGGTAATCATAACATAATAGAAATAAAACTATAGGGTAGGTCGATTACTTGCGCCCCAAGTAACTTCGGACTTCTCGTTTATCAAGGACTGTCGTGGATGGGTTAAGTCCACATAAGGTTCTTTTTTATGCCTTGAGGCCAAGGACTTTTAACTGATCAAATTTACATGCCCGAGGGTTTAGGACTTGGTTCTGGTTTGAACACTGAAGATATATTCAAATCGGATTCAAGTACTGAGAAAGCCTTTTAATAGTCATATTGCTAGAAATAACTTACATATAACTGGAAGTATACAACATATTGTTAGGCTTAATGAATGAAAAGACAAAAAACAAAGCAAAGAAGGTCGGGCAAGGTTAAACCTTATCAGGTAAGGCTGCTCGTCTTGTAGGTTCATATCTTTGTAGTTTTGTCAAGGGTCTGAAAGCTTAGAGGGATAGAGAGAGAGATTACAAAAGATGAATCGATACTACAGCAAGTTTGAACAAGGTAGCAGAGCTATTACAAAGGTTTGAAGGGAGGGTTATCCCACGAGGGATGAAGGCTTGTCCCGAGAGGGATGAAGGCTGACTACAACTTTGTTTTGAAGGCAAATATGGCTTTGAGCAGAGTTTGTGCTTGCATTTGTTTGTTTGATTGAGTGTCCTTATTCCTGGTTGTTCTTTCTTCTTATATAGACAACTCGGCTTGGCCTTCTGTAGCAGCAACCTTGCCCGAATGCGGTTTGAGGGTAATGACTCATCAGCTATTTTACATGTAATGCCACCATAAAGTACTTTATGGGCTGTGTAGCTGGTCAGTCTATACCATTTGGCCCTTGGGTAGGTAAGCAAGTGGTCTTCATGAGCTGCACCAAGTCAGGAAATGCCCTTTTTGCCTTCTGGGCTTTGACTGGGCTTCGGCTGTCTTTCCCTTCGGGCCTCCTTTTGGGCCAGCTCCTTTCTTGAGCCCAAAATTCAAGTTTTGATCCAAACAATATGTATAGGTTCATAAAAAGCAGGAGATATATTGCCTTGCATTTCGAATGTCAATTGTTAGTAGGTGAGAAATAAATGAGAATGGAGATTGAAGTTGAAGTAATATCCAAAGAGATCATCAAACCATCTTCTCCAACCCCAAACCATCTCCACCATCACCAGCTCTCGTTTCTCGATCAATTAGCTCCCCATGCATACATGCAATTTTTCTACTTTTACAGCTCCGACGGCGACGGCACCAAAACCTTCACTCAAATATCAAACATCCTCAAGACTTCTTTGTCCAAAGTCTTAACCCATTACTACCCGTTAGCCGGCCGAGTCAAACACAATCTCGTTGTTCACTGCAGTGACCAAGGCGTCCCATTCTTTGAAGCCAAAGTTAAATCCCAACTCCTTTCCGATGTGATCGCCAACCCTCTTCTCTCTGAGTCTGACCTGAACAGATTCTTGCCCTTCAAGACGGCTGAAGCTACTGAAATACCCCTCGGTGTTCAACTCAGTGTGTTTGATTGTGGAGGATTTGCAATTGGCGTTTGTATTTCGCATAGGATTGCTGATGCGTTGTCATATTTTACATTCATCAACAATTGGGCAGCTATTGCTAAGAATTGTAGCAATATTTTTGTTTGTCCAGATTTTTCTGCAGCCTCAGTTTTCCCACCAAGAAATGTGGAAGGGTATTTAGGGGTTTCTGTCATCACCAAAAGGAAAGCAATCATAACCAGGAGGTTTGTGTTTGATGGGGCAAAGGTTGAGGCTTTAAGATCGAGATACCAAGAGAGCATGGAGTTTTCAAAAACCCATAAACGCCCTTCAAGAGTTGAGGCCTTATCAGCTTTCTTGTGGAACATCTTTCTGCCATCAAGGCCGAGAGAACCTCTTCAAACTAGTCAAACTCTGTACACAGCTGTTTGCATTATGAATCTGCGGTCAAGATGTGATCCACCAGTGTCTCAATATGCTTTTGGGAATTATTACAGGGCTGCCACTGCAACTCCAACGTCGGTTAATGGGGAGGAGCGCCACCGCCTTGTGAGGCAGGCGATGGAGGAAATTGAGAAAATTGACAATAGTTACATGAGGAGATTTCAAGAGGGATATCAAGAACATTTGGATTTCATGAGGAAAAGAATGGAGAGGGCCGCAATAGGAGAGCTCGTGACATTGACCTTTTCGAGTTTGTGCAGATCTCCCATGTATCATGCTGATTTTGGTTGGGGGAAGCCTGCATGGGTGAGCTTGGCTGCCATGGGCATCACTAATCAGATAGTTTTCATGGACACCAAAAATGGTGATGGAATCGAGTCATATTATAGCTTGACGGAGGAAGACATGGCCAAGTTTGAACTTCACTGCGAGTTCATCTCGTTGCTTTAGTCCCGAATTGGTGGTAATGTTTAGGAAAAATCAGTTTCACGTCTTTAAATTAAATGAGTAATTAGCGTCTCTGCAGTTTGATTATGTTTTTAGTGCTCATGTGTTTCCTGATTCGATCCAATAAAATTTGTTTATGGTAACAAACATGTCATGGTGTTTGACTAAATAAAATAGTGAATCAAGAGACAAAAACAAATTAAATTGGCGAGTGTAGAAAGATAAAAAGAAAGTGTGACAATCGTTTCTCTTCGAGTGAAGTTGGTGGTGTATAACACAAAGGAAAGAATGCAATTTATGTATGCATCGGCCTTCCAACTAGTGCAACAGTTAAATTAAAACAAATGTTTTTGAAGTTTTGAGCTAGTCTTTTGAAGATAATGCTGAATTGAAATTGTTGACAATTGAAGTCAAGTTCTGGAAAGAATTTGCATGGCACGAGTATTCCGTCATGTAGCATCACATGTTAATAATACAATGACATGTGTTAAGTTTTTTTACATGTAGTTGTGTTATTGACACGAAACGTTAAGGTGACAATGGGCCCGTGCAATACAAGTTGCAAAAGTTTTGTCTCCACCAAATCTTGTAGTCCTGGTTGCTGTGGATACTAGATTTTATGTCTTTGAAGTTTATGGTGTGTTTTGTTGATTCTATTAATTCTTTGGATCAAATTTATGTGAAGTTTGATTTGTGGGGTTTGGATGATTTGAAGTAGAAATTAGATATATGCAGGCACTCCAATGTTTGATAAAATGCTCCAATGGTACTTGCCTGCTTGGTTGTCATGTTGGCATAAAATTCGTATAACAACAACCATGATAAATTTTCAACAGAGAAATGAATTGGAGAATTACTAATTAATGGGTAGGGTCATTTGGATTTGGTTTTAGTGTTTTGTGCCATTTGATTCTTTTGATTCTTTGATTTGTGATTATTAGGGCTGGACGTTGAGAAGAAAAAAAAACCGACTGAACCGTTCGAACCGTATCGACGGATTGGTTTGGTTTAATTTTTTTATTTTATTTTAAATTTTCGATAATTAAATTGTACCGCACCGATCATAATCGGTCCTGCAAGCGATTCCCAGAATTTTCAAACCGAGGTTAACCGAACCGCACCGATCATAAGAGCCACTTTCCCTTGCCTTTGCTCACACTCCTGCGTGGTCGAAACCCAGCGTTGTTCTTGCCGTCTCTTCAGTTGATCAACATCCTTCTTTGTTTAACAGGTAATAATCAAAAGAGAGAAAAAGAGGAATTTTACCTGGCGAGAGTGATGGAGGAACTTGAGTGTGAGAAAGAAAGATAAAGCAGAGGAAGAGAAAAAGAGAGAGTTCTGAAACTTGACGGAAAGAACGAAGTTAATAAAAATTTTGAAGAGGGTGATGGATGGAGGGGAGGCTGGAGAGAACCCGTGAGTTCTAGAGGGTTGGAGTGGCTTTTGTTGAATTTTGGCCAAATTTGTGGCCCTTGTTTTTTGGTTGCCTGCATTCGGCTGAAGGAAGAGAAAGGTTGGTGTGTTGTTTTTTTCACTTTTTTGTATGCTTTTGGCTGAATGGAGTGAGTGATGCATTTTGAAACAGGCTAGTTCCTACGGGTCCCCACGAATCCAAATCTTCACTCACCCCAACGAGTACGACGACTTTAAGGCGGTGGAGGTCAGATATGGAAGAGGGGAAAACGCCGGACAACAGCTGCACAGATTGAAAGCAAGGATAAAAGCTGTTTATACCATATTTAGGGCCTCGTATTTAGATCTCGTACAAATACTCAGGGGACTTAAATGTAATTATGGGATAAAGGAATAGGCAAATATGTAATAAGTGAGGAGTCCTTATTCTATAAAAGGACCCCTCACCCTCACAATTGGGAGAGGCTCATTCTCACCCTCAAAGGCCATTTCTGAAGCCTCTCACCCCCTCTCAAAGCTCCTCACATCCCCTAAGCTCTCTCTCCCTCTTCAACAGAGAAATATAATACAATCAGTGTGGACGTAGCCCAAACCTTGGGGTGAACCACGATACATCTTGTGTCATTTACATTTCATGCAGATTTACGATTGGATTTACGTTGTTCCAAGACCCCCGGTTTTGTGCATCAACATTTGGCGCCGTCTGTGGGAATCGATACGAAAAGTTGTGTCGGTTCTTTTTCATTTTTTCATCTCCATCGTAAATCTGCAAAAATTTGCAAAAAACCCAGTAACAGAAAAGATCCAGATCTCAAAATCACTCATCTCTCTCTCTGGAAAACTCTGCAGTCTTAAGAAACCATCCAAAAACCAAAATCCCAAATAAATCTTGTCGCACCAGTGGTTTTCTCGGAGACTCCGCCAAAGAACAAGCCGCTTGAATTCCCCAACAAGATAGAAATTGCAGTGTCCCAATGACTACAAAATGAGCGACCACAAGGTCGCAGCAGCACCACCTGCACCTGATCACCCACTACCATCACTCGGAAGACTAAGCTCCACACCCTAAAGTCGATCTCAACGAAGTCGCTCCACCTCCCCACTCTGAAACTCGGACCTCCACCTCCCTTCAACACACTTTGTCAGTCTCTCTCTATCTCTCTGTAAGTGTACCCATCAAAGCTCCCACTTCGATCGATTCAGCATCGATGATTTCGAGGTAGAAGATGAGGTCCGACCCGACTTCCCGTGCCCGTATTCCTACGAGGACTTCGACATCGCGTCCTTGTGCTTCCATCTCGAAGACGAGCCCTCCTGCGAATCCACAACCACCTACTGCTCAGCCTTATCTAAAAAAATAGTGGGTTTCAATGGTAGGTTTCTGGGTTCTTGCAGATCTGATTTCAGGCAACAACAGGAGGCTCGGCTTCAGACAACAATTTCTGGTATTTCTACCATCTAAGAAAAGCAGATCTCACGAGTTTCGATGGTGGTTGTAGAGGGAAGCAATGGGTTAAATGTTCAAGCTGCAGCGGCGGGTTCGATCTCCAGGACAGCTTCGGTCGGTGAGGGGTTGATAGATCAATTTCGATGCGGGTGGTAGTTTGACAATAGGTTGTTGCGCGGTGCATGAATACAATGCAGCAGGCGTGCGACACAAAACGAGTACGAGTCATTGTCGAAGTTCGAACAGCTACTTCGGCACTGATTTCAGATTGAATCTTCTAGTACACGGTTAATTAGTCAGTGTATGTTGTTCTTGTTTTAGATTTTTAGAGAGAGAAAATTATGGGATCTGGAAATGGGGTTTATTTAGTTGGGGATTTCGATTTGGATGCCTTGTGGTTAATAGAGAAGAAAAATGTATGAACTCTGTTGAACGCGTCTCGCCGATCAGACAACAGGCAAAGGTTGAGGTTTGGTTGATGTTGCTGGAGATAATAAGCACAAGGAGAACAAGCAAGATTGTGGTTTGGAGCCATTGATATTGAAAGGGGAAGAATATGAGAGCATTGCCATGCACTACCGTTATCAGATGACCCAGTTCCCGCCCCATGGCCCCACCAATTCCACTCCATCTTGGTGATGAACTACACTGGAACCCTCTAGCTCATTGACCTCTAAGCAGAAAGAAGATGCAAGAAACAGAGAACTTGAGTGCCATCTGCACTCTGCAAAGTAAAAGCAAAAGCTAAAAGAAAAAGATTATATTTTTGCTTTTGTCGACGGATGCATGTTCCTATTTTTTAAAAGCTAGAGAAAAGCAAATGGGCGATGTCGGAAAGGCTGTCCAAAGCAGCTGTCATTTTAGAGCAAAGCAGAAAGCATGGCTACCCGAGATCTGCGGTGGAAAAGAGCAAAGCAGAAAATATGGCTACCCACTGAGATAATTACAAAAGTAGAAAAGAAAAGAGAAAAACAAAAGTAAGGAATAAACATCCTACCAGAATGATGTAATTTATTATTTTCGGAGACATATGTATAAACCCCATCAGTGGGTAATATGTATAAACCCATCAGAGGGTAATCGTCAAAAAAAAAAAAAAAAAAAAAAAAAAAAAAAAAAAAAGGAAAAGCCCAAAACAAATGGGCTGACATGTTGTGGAAGGCGAAGACCCATAAGCTTGAAATAGCACCAACCAGGCGAAGACTCATGTCATTCATACATAAACATTCATGAGCATCACTCATGATAATCATACATAAACATTCATGACCATCATTCATGTCAACATTCATGAGCATCACTCATGACAACATCCATGAGCATCACTCATGTCAATCAACATAAACATTCATGAACATCACTCATGTCAATCAGCTTCAAAAGCTTCATTTACAGAGCTCTAGCTTCAAAAGCTTCATTTACAAAAGCTCCAGTTTCGAAAGCTTCATTTACAGAGCTATAGCTTCAAAGCTTCACTTGCAAAGCTTCACTTACAAAGCTTCAGTGCAAGGTATACAAATACCACATCCGAACAACCGCCACTTCGGCCTATACATAGATTCAATTTGAAGTCTCCAGCCAACAGCCTCTATTGACTGAAGACTTGGGGGACTACATTATGTACCATATATTGGGCCTCAACTGGGCCTCATAAAAAATACTTGGGAGACTCTAGCCCATCACTTATGTATTGAGGAGCGAGCCCTTATTCTATAAAAGGGACTCCTTCACTTTTAGAGAGCACTCATGAAAAATACTTGGGGGACTCTAGCCCATCACTTATGTATTGAGGAGTGAGCCCTTATTCTATAAAAGGGAATCCCTCACTTTCATTAGAGAGCACCCATTATTCATGTACTGAGGAGTGAACCCTTATTTTATAAAAGGGACTCCCTCACCTTCATTAGAGAGAAACGCCGCCAGCTGAGCAACCGCCTCGCCGCGAGCATCAACTCTAGCCCATCATTTTATGTATTGAGGAACGAGCCCTTATTCTATAAAAGGGACTCCCTCACCTTCAACACCACAAGCCGAGCCAACCAAGGCAATATATAAGCCACAAGCCGAGCAACCTCGCAACATGTGACAGTTGAGCATCATTTCAGATTGAGCACCGCCTCATATCGAGCATCAGTTCAAGATA